TCAGATCTCAGCTTGTTGAGTAGCTTGGATTATAGGCATGAGCCACCTAGCTTCTTTTACTCATTTTAATCTCTTTTATATTATTCTTCACAAAGACTTTTCTCTGTCAACTCCATTTGTTTATCAAATGTATATAATATACTTTTATTCTAGATGTTATAGGTTTAGTTTTTGAATTTCCATGTTCCATTTTTGTGATTTTTTTTTTGTTTCTCTACTCACTTCTTCTTTCCACTTTTTGCTTCATTGAGGATAATTATTGTTTTTTTTTGAGGATAGTTATTGTAATTGCTTTGAAATTTTATCTTCCAAGTTAGAGCCAATTCAAGGTTTGTCTTAGTAGCTTTCCCTTTCTCCTGAGAATGTGTTCTATTTGTTGACTCTTTGAAATATTTGAAAATTTTGAAATTGTTTCACAAACATTATGGATTAATTTTTGGAGAATCTTTTTTTAATGTTCTTGACAATTGTTTCTTTTGTCTTTGGAAAGAATACATATATTTTTTGTCAGTAGTGGGTCTTGAACTCAGGGCCCGGCTGCTGTCCCTGAGCTCTTTTGCTCAAGGCTAGCACTCTACCACTTTGAGCCACTTTCAGTTTTCTGGTGATTAATTAGAGATAAGCTTTTCATGGACTTTCCCTCATGGGCTGGCTTTGAACTGTGATCCTCAATCTCAGCCTCTGTAGTAGCTAGGATTACAGATGTGAGCCACCTGTGCCCAGTGGAAGCAATATTTTAGCTAGATTTGCATGGAAGAACCTCTCGCCATTTATTAGCATTTACGATCTTAAACTAGATCTAGTTTTTAAATGAAATTTGATATTTGAACTGAACTGTTTTGGTTTTACTATTTACCTTACACCCAGTGTTTACCTCATTTACCCTCATACACTGTTATACTACATTTATTATTGTTAATGAACTAATGTTAATGTATGATTTACCTACTGATGTCTGGTCTGGATTTGAATTATTTTGATTCTTACTGTTTTTCTTTCATGATCCCATCCAGGATGCATGATTACAGTTAATTATCCTGTGCAGGCCTGACTTGATGTTCCAGCTATCTAAGAATACTTCTTCACCAAACCTGAAGAGTCCTCAATTTCTTGTTGATTGGCCATCTATTTTATATTACTTTTATTCTGGAGAATCAATTACTTCTGACCAAGGGAACAAATGTCAACCATTAATTGGCTTATACCAATTCCTGAACTAATCATTGAGCTCTAGTATCAGCAGGATATAGTTCTGTTGATTAATTTAAATCAATTTTTGGGAAGGGAGTGTCAGTTACCTAAATCACATGACAAATCTAAATGAAGAAAAAATACAATAGGTTTTTGAAAAACAACCAGTATCATGTAAAGAGCATACACATTGATGACGGATACTACACTTAGTATTATAACTCAGAAAGCTAGACCCAGGTTGCTTCTTCAGGTGTTTTTTCTTTTTTTTTTCTTTTTTTGGGGGGGGTCTGGTCATGGGCCTGAACTCTGGGCCTGGGTGCTGTCCCTCAGCTCTTCAGCTCAAGGCTAACGCTCTACCACTTGAGTCACAGCACCACTTCCGGCTTTTTTTTCCTGCTTATGTGGTGTTAAGGAATCGAACCCAGGGCCGCATGCATGCAAGACAAGAGCTCTACCACTGAGCCACCTTCCCAGCCCCCTCAGGTGTTTTTTCTTATTCATGGAAGTATTTAGTTGGCCAAATACCTACTAGTTAGTTCATCTTTCCATCATAAACACATCGTATCTCAGATTTGCTATTCAAAAATATTAATTTCTAAGTTTGCCCAAATTGAAATTAAGATTTACACAAATTGAAATTAAGCCTTTAATTTCTCTGTTTATAGAAAAACAAAGATTTAAAATTCTGATAATTTGAGTAGAATTTCTTGGGCTTTTTGGGGGCAGCTTTTTCTTTGTAAGTCTTGTCTTTGTAGTAGTATTCCATGATAGGACCCCATAAAGGGAGCTTGTCAATTTAGCATCACATGGATCATTTTTAGGAAGGATTGCAGTTTGAGGCCACTTAGTAGGGTGTCCAGGGGGGTTCTTGAAACCTTTTCTCAGTCAGTAGCTGGATACAGTGTCTAGCACCGATCCTCCTAGCTTCGTGGGAATCATAAACAGGGTGGATCAACCAGAGATGAAGTTAGACCCTGTCTTAACAATAACTACATAAAAAAGGTCTGGATGTGTGGCTTAGTGGTATCCAGCAAGTATGAAGCCCTGAGCTCAGACCCCGGGATGCCCAAAATAACTAAAAGACAAACAAACAAATAAAATGTTCTATTCACAGTTATAGAAAATGCAGTTTAGAACTGGGACCAGTCCTTGTCCCATGTCCGGCTTCTCACTTCCCCATTTCCTTCATGTGGGGGATGGGTTCTCTCATGCTCTGAGCCTGCGGTGCTCAGAGTATACCTCAAGACTCAAAATACATTTGTGTTCCTTTGCCTCTGCTTTCAAAATTATGAAGTAAAATGAAATCTTCCTAGAAGCACAGCAGTCAAAGCACTGTTTTCTCTGTAGTTGGTATTCCTTCATGAATTTTCTTTTGTCACATTCACTTCTTACTTTTTCTAGGTATTTTCCATGCTGATACATTATTTCGGATTTTTGCTCTATGTCTTCTATCTGCTCTCATTTTGTTATCATTTTCAGTTCATCATGTCTTATAGCCATTGTTCCTTGTCCTCTTCTCTTAGCTTTGCATGGGAACTTTTTTACTGTTGATATATGTTTTTAATTTCATTTTCTACTTCTCATCTTTATAGGAAATGTCTGAATTATGTTGGAAAGACTTTTTGTTGCTGTTTTCTTTTATCCTAAAGAAAAGCATGCGGACTTCCTTTTAGACAGGGTCTTAGGCTGCCTATTACACTAGAAACTGATGAGCTTTAGACTAGGATGGAACTGAATATGAATTCTCATTTCATTATAAAGAAGCTGATATCCTTAGGAAAGTAGTTACAATTCTCTGGGCTTTCATTCACTGCTGTGTATATGAGGACAATAATAGTAACCTGACTAGATCTTAGGGGCCTTAGAAAAAGCAAATGCAAGTGTAATGTGATGTAGGTATTAAGTGCCTGATTATTATTGCCTAGTAAGTACTATTTTATTCTAATTAATTTTATTTTTAAATGTTTGTTTTACAATTGAATTACAAACTAGTCAACATTAATGCTACTTTTTAAGACAATGAAGCAATAAGCAGGTGATGGTAATATCTACCTTCCAGTTAACTTATCTTTTAAAGAATGTAAAATGTATATTGAAACACTATAAATTTTATTTGATGTGTCCTATAACATCATCCACAGTTTGAAGTGTGTCGATTTGCTCCCCCCAAGTCTAGTAGAGAAGTAAGCAACTAAAGGCACATAGATGATTGATGAATAGGTCTTCCTAGCTGTTCATGAAGAATAACAGCATCCAGGAAGGATGGCAAGTTTAGGAGATCTATAGAGAAAACACTGCTGGAGCCCTGAGTAGGCACATTTCTTGCTGGGGCTGATAGCATGAGGTCTGCTGAAGGGGTTGCATTTGAAACAAATCATGCAGATGGGCAGAGTTCAGGGGTCAGTGAGAGAAGGCATGCCCTAAAGCACAAGACTGGAAACAAGATGCGGTGGGGACTAATAAGAAAACATACTGAAGCATTCGATTGTACCAGGTGAGAGAAGGCTTGGGTCTTTCTTCCCAGCGGAAGGGATGAGTCTTTAAAGGATTTGAATGGTATCAGGTCTGAGCTGTGTATCAATAAGGCTTATCTTGCAGAAAGGCTTAGGGCATTCTCTAAGAGTGTGGACCAAGCAAGTCTCCAGTTGGGAAGCTAATTAAGAATATGGAAAGGATTTAAGGAGAGCCTGATGAAGAGTGGTGAAAGGACAGCTGAGCAGCAAGGGCGGCTAGAGCAGTAGCACAAGGGAGTGCACACGGGTGAGCCACGCCATGGCAGGGTGGGAGGGAGGAGAGGTGGGGAGACACGTGACTAAGTCTGACAGAACAAATGGTTCCAACAAGGGAAAGGAACACATTAGCTTTAAGAAAAAAGGCAAATAAATGTCTCTGCAGATCCAGGGAAGCCTTTGGCCAGGTCCATCAAAGCCCAGAGCCCCGTGAGGGTCTTCCCTCCAGTCTATGAAGTAGGTTGAGTTTTCTCCTCTTCCTCTTGGAGCACGAACGCATTGCCTTTTATTTTTATTCAGAGGGCGCCTTGGAGGGAGGGAGTTTGTTCTGGCTGTCAGAGCTGAATCTCTTTGATAAACTCCTGGGAATCTCACGATTCCAATCAAGCAAGTGTTCTGCTGAGTCCTTCAGTTTTCCAGGATGGATGTCAAAGACAGAACACAGTTTTGGTTTGCAGGTCACTGACTAATATATAAGAGAGAAAATCCCAGGGGGGAATTCTGTTTGTTTGTTTGTTTTTTCCCTACACACTACTCTATAGTATTCAACTTTCTGTTATAAAAGAAAGAAATGGTATGCCATTCATAGAAGGTGGGTGAGGGGTAAGTTGGTTCAGAAATGTGATTACTATTTAAGGGCTAGAAATAATGCTTTCTCTCTCTCTCTCCCTGTCCCTCTCTTCTTCTCTCTCTCCATTGCTCTCCCTCTCTCTCCCCCCCCTCTCTCTCTCTCCCTCTCCCTCTCTCTCCCTCTCTCCCTCTCCCTCTCTCCATTCCTCTCTCCCTTTCTCTCCCTCCCTCCTACCTTCTCTCTCTCTCCTTCCCTCTCCCTCCCTCCCTCTCTCCCTCCCTTTCTCTGTCCCTCTGTCTCTCTCCCTCTCTCCCTCCCTCCCTCTTTCTCTCTCCCTCTCTCCCTCCCTCCCTCTTTCTCTCTCCCTCTCTCCCTCCCTCTCTCTCCCTTTCTCTCTCTTTCTCTCTCCCTCTCTTTCCCCCCCTCTCTCCCTATCTCTCTCTCCCTCCCTCTCTGTCTGTCTGTTTGTCTGTCTCTCCACCCCCCCTTCCCATTATCTTGGTTAGTGTTTGTCAGGTTCAACTCCAGCCATGGTTTCCCAGTGGAGGTCGATTCTGACACCAGCATCTTCCAGCTCAAGGAAGTGGTTGCTAAGCGACAGGGGGTCCCAGCTGACCAGCTGCGTGTGATTTTTGCAGGGAAGGAGCTTCCAAATGACCTGACAGTGCAGGTGAGTCTCCCTGGCAGAGTCTTCCAGGAATGCAGCCAGCCCCATTGCTGATACACCACCCAACATGCCAAGCTGACATTCCTGACTGAGATCTAATAGAATAAATAGTGCCTGGGGATTCCTTGAACTTTACTCCACACGGCTTCATTAATTCTGACCTTCTTAATTATGTATTAAAACAGCAAGTAGGAAGGATTGGAAGAACAACAGTGTGTGTGTGTGTGTGTGTGTGTGTGTGTGTGTGTCAGAGAGAGAGAGAGAGATTGAGGAGAACGAATTGGACTCTGATGAAATGTTTACTGACTTATAGGAACAGCAAGGCATAATTTCTGGCACTGTTCAATTTCTACCTTATTCTATTTGAATCTTAATGAAGAGGGATGAAATAAATTGTCCCCAATCAGCTGCTCCCAGTCACTCCGGCTTGGTGAGGGATTTGTGACCCAACTGTGACCCCTGGAGGAGAGTCAGAGCTGCTGTTACTTGTGGTAGTAGAGCATGCGCTGTGCCGAGGGTGAGCAGGGTGAACCCTGAGCTGGTGGGTTAGGAAGACCGGAGCGCCCAGAGTTCGCCAAAGTCCAGTCCTCCAAGGCTCAGTAAAATTGATGCTGACCAACCACAGCGTGGCTGGCCTCCGTGCTCTCCGGGCTCAGAGCTTCCCGGACACCCTACGGCCCATTCACCTGCAGGCAGGGTGAATGGTGGGCGGAGCCATCGATGAGAAGCAGGCTTTGTGGAGAAGACAGTGGGCAGGTGCAAATTCTTCGTGTTCCCAGGAGTCTGTGGGAGGAGGAAGGAGCCTGCCCCCTGGGTGGTGGCTCTGGTGGTGGGACCGGGCCCTGAGGACACAAGTTCCCCTCTCTTAAATATAGCCCATCAGTTGCTCTCCTTTTTCTACCTGTGTGGAGACCACAGTGAGCTAAGAGACTGCCTCTGACCCGCAGCAGTCCAGTCAGTCCTTTCATCCACACTATCAATGTTGTTTCTGGGCCCAGATATTTACTGCTCTGTGAAACGCTTTTGGAACCAGAGGATACAAAGAAGCTATGGAAATGCAAATCTTTCCTTCATTCTTCCTGCTTCTCCTGCTGCTGGTGGTGGGTAGCACATTGTGAACAAACTGCTGTGCTTTGCTTTTAGGCAATTTGTTTTTATAAGGGAAGTGCTTGTGCTAAAGAAATGTTTTGATTTTTTAAAAAATTTCAGTCAATTAAAAAGCTTTTCACAGTATCTGACAACCTCTAAATCCAAGACTATTTCCTTCACAAATAAATGATTTTTAAATTGCTCCTTGAATTCAAATACAGTATATTACCAGAACTTTTAGATGCTAAAGCTCCTCCTCTCTACCATGTAGGCTGATTAGTGAAATAATTCAGGATTTCATATTTAGTTTGACTAATTGTTACAGAGGATTGATTTTACAAACACACCTACGCATATAATACTTATTGATTTAAGAGCTTTTAACTTGACAAACAACTTATAAACACTCCCAGTGTTCCAGGCTTCTGGGAGGTTGGAGGGGTCCAGCTGAAAAAAAAAAAAAGATAAAAACTCAGCCCATGTCTTCGTGAATACTAGTGTTTACCTGAAACTCTGAAACCAAGAGAAATGTTAGATTTGAAATTGCCATATTTATAGGTAAAATCCTCAACAATTTCACGTGGTTCCACCTAGTAGCTATAATTCGTGGGTGCCAAGCATAATTGTGACTGAAAAATTAAGAATTGTGAAGTTAAAGGTGGAGAGATACATCTGAGTAGAGTCACCCAGAAGGGCCTCATGGACCAGCTGAATTCAGGTAAGATTCATGGGTGGAAGGCAGAGCACGGAGTGGTTTGTGAAGGAAGGATAGGTTCTTGCTCTTCTGGAATGTAGAGATGATGTTGAAGACTGTGTATTTGAGACTCTTGACAGAACATTGACTGGCTTAGAACTGTGGTTTCATTTATGGAGAATAGTAAGGAGAGTGGGAAGGATAGTGAGTTTTTCTGCCTGATGAGAACTGGTGCAGGCAGGATGTATGTGTGGAGATGTCTAGGAAAGGCCAAGAGAGAGCAAGAGTTTCTGTAACAAAAAGCTTAGCAGAAGGTTGGAAGAGACAGGAAATTTTAGCAAGTGAAAAATTCGCAAACTGAAAGAACAATAGAAAATACACAATTTGAGGAATGGGGGGGCGCAGAACAGAAGCTGAGAAACCTTTGGGACTGTATCAGAGCACTTGAAGTTTGTGTCACGGAAGTACAAAAAAGACAGGATGAAGTTAGTCAGTACTAAAAGAAATAATGGCCACACCACATTTCTCAAACATATTGACTGCAGGGTAATGAAGCTGAGCAAACCCCTAAACAGAAAAGTCCAAAGAAATCTAAGCCAACACAAGTCATACTTACATTTGTTAAAACAAAAGACAAAGAAAAGTATCTAAAGCCAAAGAAAGTGGCAGTGTGTGTAACTGCAGCTGCTTGGGAGACAGAGGAGGATTGTGAGTTCAAGGCTAACTCCAGCAAAGTTAGCAAGACCCTGTGTCAAAAACAAAATATAAACAAAAGGGCCAGGGATGTACCCAAGTGGCAAGGCCCTGGGTTCAATCCGTAGCACAGAATAAATAGAGAGATTATATCTTATGCCTGGAGACTAAACACTTTGACTGACAGGAGGTTTCTCAGCAGAAGTCCCAAAGGCATGATGGAAGTGACATGATATTTTTCAAGTGCTAGAAGAAAAGAACTGTGGGAGCAGAACCCAATGAGAATATTGTTTAGGAATGAGGTAGAAATGAATGCATTTTTCAGATGAAGAAAAACTAAGAATTTGTTACCAACATGCCAATTAAAAAACAAAACAAAACAAGCTACAGAGAGATGTTTTAAAAAGAAACGAAACAATAGAAGCAACTTTTCCTCTGGAAAGACAGAAGCAAAAGTATGGGTAAATACAAGAGACTTTCTTCCTCTTGATTTTTTCTAAATTGTTTTTAAGGTTTGTAGCAAAAGTTACAAAACTCTTTCACATAACTAAGTGTAGAGGAAATATTTTAGGGAAATATTTTATAAACTGATATAAGGAAAGTAAGTTTGTAAACCTCAGGTTTACCTATAAAAGACAATTATAGTAAAACATAACAAGTTATGAATTACAGTCATAGCTAGAGAAACCACTTAAGGGTACTAAGTAGATAAAATCTAGTAACAACATCAAGTGCTAGTGAGGATGTGTGGGCCTGAATTGTTCATACATTGCTAGTGGCCTATAAAGTAGCAGACACTCTAGTAAACAATGTGGTAGTTTCTTAATAACAACAACAACAAACACTGAACATGTATTTCCCACAAGGCATAGTAGTCACACATTTGGTTATTTTAGATAAGATTTATGTGTACACAAACACCTGTACATAAATATCTACAACATGTTTATTCAAATTAGCCCAAACTTGTAAACAACTCCCATGTCTTCCAATGGGAGAATGGATAAGCAAACAGTGGGATATCCATACCAGGAATAGTACTGAGCAAAGAAAAAAAAAGAGCTGTCCATTCATATAATATCTTGTAAAGGCTGTTATGCTGAGTGAAAAGAGCTAGCAGAACAGGTCACATGTTGAGTATTTTTATTTCTGAGACACTCTTGAATTAATACAATAATGGAAATGGATTGCAGATTAGTAATTACCAGGAGTAAAAACAAAGTGGCAGCTGGAGGTGAACGGTGGCTGTGTGGCTGTGAAGGGAGCAGGAGGGACCCCGAGTGTGGTGGACATTTGAAAGACTGTTGCTGCTGACCATGCAACTGCAGTATCATAGTAACCTTGTGAGATACCTCGGGAACAACTGGGAAGGGTCCTGGGAGGTCTCTGCGGCCCTTCTCCCCTATGCATTTGGAAGAGTCTCAATTGGAAACACACACGCGCGCATGCACACACACACACACACACACACACACACACACACACACAGAAGCAGAACCTCATAATACCAATCATTTTTAGAGGTAGAATATTGACCTAGTGAATAATTCTAGAATAATAAACAAAAATAGTTTAACTGATTAGGAGACTCACTTAAGGATGAATTTATACGAAAGAGTAGGACAGCAACTTACAGACATATTAAGACTTTGTTTGAATTCTTAAATAGCATCTTCAGTGCCTTATAAAGCTGAATAGATGTGGTTAGTATTCATATACAAAATTATTGCCAAATATTTCAACTAAATACAAGATAAGTATTTCTTGACAGTTGTGTATACTAGTTGTATGTATTTTCCAAATTCATGTGAAAGTCATGTATTACAGTCAGAAATAAATGAGCACTTCATGCAACCATCCATATTAGAATGCTTAGAGAAAACATCTGTGTTAAAAATGTTCCCCCTTTTATTGATATCAAAACAATTTAGGAATGAAGTGATTTCATTTGAAAACTAAATGTATTGAAAAATCTTTTACTTTTTTCTATTGAATAGTAGACAGAGGATAGATAAATTTCATGTTGAATATATTTATACCATGAATTTTCATTTAGTGAAAGAGTTTTGCAAGTAAATGGCTGATAGAATACATTTTCCCTGTGATTATAGAATGGAAGGAAACGAAGCTAAACAGCACACTATCCAGAGAATAATGATCTGGTCATTCTTTTGTCCCTGGGAGTGCAGCTGTGTAAACGTCGCCTCGGTCACTGCAGGGCTGTGCAAGCATGTTTTCTCATCTGCCTTTGTTAATGGACTGTACTGCTGGCCTCGGGGTTCATTTAGGTGCATATAGATTCCTCTCGAGCTGATTCCGAGAATCAGCTCGGTACTGTGGGAGCTGGTAAGTCAGCATGAGAGTCGAGAATCAAAGGGTGGTAATAAGTGCAGAACAAGGTCTTTCTTAAGGAAGACCCTTGTTTCTTCTGTTTATGTCTGCTTGATTGTGCATGTCAGGAAAAAAGAAACTTGAAATTCCTCAGCTCTGTGCATCATTCAGAACCCTCAGAAATATTTTTCTGTTG